CAAAACTGGGTGGGAAGGAAACCTCAATGTGATGCTTTGATACTGTGGTATTCATGGACACCACTATATCCAGGAATGCCTTTGGCTTCTATCAGGCTCTGTACACTATGTTTTATAATGTTATTGCAGCTACCCATCCTTTTTTTGTTCATCAGTAGAATTCTGTGGAAGCTATACTACAAATTTCATTTGTTTCCACTGCCTCAAGAAGACCTAGATATAGTGAATAGGAAATAAAGGAGGAGAAATTCTTAGCATTCTTAGCAACAACCAAGATAAATTTCTTTGGGACAGCTGTATCTGTGAAATTAGTCTTAAAAATCTAAAGAATCAAGCCTCTAGTTTCATCTGCAATAAAAATTGAGAATACAGAGTGGGCAGAAGCAGTGAAAAAATGGGATTGAAGGCACATGAGGACCAGGTTGATCTTGTCACAGATGCAGGCTACATAATGTCTTCATTCCAAATTTATACAAAGGTGTGTAAGTGGAAGTTGACTTAAAAGAATTGAAGAAGCTTAGCCCTGCCTTACCACCTGTGCTAATTTTCATCAAACCAACCATTTCACCATACCTCTCCCAGGTGTATTGCTTAAGTGGATAGCAACTAAGAGAAAAATGATGTGGAAAAACAATTGTAACAGATAACACCCTGTCAGGTCCATACTTTAGCTTTAAAAGCCACCCATACTACCCTCTTTATATAAAATAATCTAATACTTATACAATGAACAGCTGGTCTGATATCTCATTTGTTCTTTCATGCCTTATTTAAAGTTACAGTCACCATTTATTTATTTAGTCAATCAATTTATATGGACACCTATTTCAAGTGCATCACTCTCAATACTGACAAGTTTAATATAAGATGCATACAAACACGTATAAAAATTAACAGAGAATAAAATACCCAACAATTGGAGATTGAAAAAACTCTGAACATAATCAGGAGATGGACTCCCTGGAGTTCCAGGGAGAAACACTCCTGTGAGTAACCTGACCCCAAACCCCAAAGGTAACCACCATGACTTTTAATTGCACTCAGAAGCAAACTACCAATTTTATACACGGCTCTGTAGACTTAAGAACACGCTTGCAGCAGTGGTGGGATTCAATTATTTTTTACTACCCATTCTGTGGGCATGGCTTGGTGGGCGTGGCAGGGGAAGAATACTGTAAAATCTCCATTCCCTCCCCACTCCTGGGTAAAGGTTCTCTGAACCAGGGGTCGCCAACCTTTTGGATCTCAGGGACCGCCAAACTCATACTTTTAAATCCCGAGGACCACTAATATGAATTTTTTAAAAAAATCTAACATATTTAATAAAATTTTTATGTTAAATATAAATTTTATATGTGTGTGTGTGTGTGTGTGTATACCATGTTTCTCCAACAATATGGCCTCCCCCAATAGGAAGTCCCAGCATGTTTTATAGGCATAAAATGAAATTAAGCCCCTCCCCCAAATTAAGGCCTATTTTAAAACATGCGAAATGGGGGGAAGGGCGGGGGGCTTGCCGTTAGGAGCGCCCCCACGGGCAGCCATGCCTCGCCACCAACCTCCCTACTGTCGCCAAGTACTTTTGCTGCACACCCGGGTATGGTGCTGCCTGCGTTGACCTCGGCGTTGGTGGGGCACTTCGTATTGGGAGACCTTCCGCCACTGTTGTTTTCCCTTCTCCCCATGCCCCCATGGCATTTGGAGTATTGCCGTGGCATTTGGTGCAGCCATGCGGGGCTGGCCAGGGCTCCTCCCTGTAACTGGAGCCCGGCGGAAACAATCAGCTTCAGGCACTCCTGTCTCCGCCTTCCTGGCCATCGTTTGAAGGCAAAGCCCATTCTTTTAAAAACGATGCCCTACTACAACAAGGTCTCCGCTGCCCGAGAGGACAGCCCAACCCCACATGGGGAGGCGAATCTTCCGGGGCCACAGTGCAGGAACGGCCCACCCCAGGAGAAGCGCCTTGCCGCCATCCCTTCCTGGCACCGGGCAGGTGCGAAGAGCTTCGCCTGGGGTGCCCAGCGCAGCTGACAGGTGGGCCTTCCTGCCCAGCAGCAGAGCTCCAGCCAAGGCAGCAAGCGCCTCTCCGCCAGGCCCTCCGCTCATCTCACCAGGCTGGGCAGAGCCGGGAAAGTGCACGCCCACCTGCCAAGCGAAAGAGCTGGGCCGACCCAAGCTTGGCTTCCCAAGTCCCTCCAGCCCGACCCCGAAGGGGCCACTGGGAGGGGCCGCCCAAGGCAGTGATAGCACCCACCCATCCGTGGACAGGGAGGCGAAGCAACAGCAGCGCTGCTTCCCTGGCCAGCAGGTCTGGCGGGGAGAGCCCGAAGCTGCCCATCCTTTCCACCCCTTGTCCGTCCCGTCCCCATCCCCACACATCTCCAAATGCACCAGCAGCTCCAAATACAGTGGCAATGCTCCAAACGCTGCAGTGGCACAGGCATTGGGCAGAGGCGCTCACTCAGCAGGGCTCAGCTCGGAGGAGGATGTGGTGTGTGCCGTCGCCTCACCTCCCTGTCTGCGGACGGGTGAGCGCTATCACTGCCTTGGGCAGCCTCTCCCAGTGGCCCCTTCGGGGTTGGGCTGGAGAGACTTGGGAAGCCAAGCTCAGGTTGGCCCGGCTCTTTCTCTCGGCAAGTGGGCGCACACCCACGGCTCGCTTTCCCGGCTCTGCCCAGCCCGTCCGGATCCGACACAGCCCTGGCAGGATGAGCGGAGGGCCTGGCGGGGAGGTGCTCGCTGCCTTGGCCAGAGCTCCGCTGCCAGGCAGGAGGGCCCACCTGTCAGCTGCATTGGACGCCCCAGGCAAAGCTCTTCGTGCTCTGCCTGGTGCCAGGCAGGGATGGTGGCTGGGCACTTCTCCCGGGGTGGGCCGATCCATCCCGGGAGATTTGCCTTTGTTGTAGTAGGGCATCGTTTTTAAAAGAATGGGCTTTGCCTTCAAACAATGCCCGGGAAGGCAGCGACAGGAGCGCCCGAAGCCGAGTGTCTCCACCAGGCTCCAGTTGCAGGGAGGAGCCCTGCTCCAAATGCTGCAGCAGCACGGAGAGAAGGGAAAGCAATGGTGGCAGAAGGTCTCCCAATACGAAGTGCCCCACTAACACCGAGATCAACATCCAAGCTGTCACCGCTCACCCGCCGAAGGATGCAGGGGGGGGATTAAGTCACCCTTGAAAAGACTGCCTAGCTGCTTTTTGGGGGCTCAAAAAAAAAATAAGACCCGGCCTTATTATATGAGGTACATACATACCTATACATCCATCCATACCTACATCCATCCATACCTACATCCATCCATCCATCCATCCATCCATCCATACATACATACATACATACATACATATATATATATATATATATATATATATACACACACACACACACAAAACACACACACACACACACACATACATAATACACACGCACACACACTTACTTATTTAATTATAACAAAAATGCAAATGCTTAATGATAACAAAATAAAATGTTCTGGGCTGGAAGCCTCCCCCACCTGACACTTTCCAAAGAGATAGAAGAGCGGGCAGATTGTGTGTGTGTGTGTGTGTGTGTGTGTCTGAGCTGAGGGGCCTCTGAGCAACTTCTGCTGGGAGGAGCAGAGGCAAAAAGGGGGCTTTGCTCACCTTGGGAGGCAGCACCCCTTGGCTGCCACTCCAGAGACTTCTCAGCAGGCATCTGCCTGCAGAAGGACTGCTGCTCTTGGTGATTAATTGGGGGTGATGGGGGAGAGAGAAAGCATGTCTTGCATTATCAGGGAAGGAAAGGAGATGAAACAAAGCTCACTCTTTCACTGAGACCTATAAAACACCAATCTATCATGTTCCAGGAGTTCTTTGAAATCATCAAATGCTCCCACTTGCAGTTCCCATGCCTCCTGGGTCAGGTCCCTGAGATGCACACTCCCACACACGGCGGCAGCAACAACAGTCCCCTCCCCCAGCACCCGCTGTCAGCTCTCCCCATTAGTTTTCTAGCTTTGAATTGCTCCCGGCTCTCTCTCTTTCCTCCCCCCCCCACCCATGTGCAGGCAGGAAAGGAAAGGGAGACAGAGCCATGCACAGCTCTCCCCTTTTCCAGCCCTTGCTGCCTCTCCCAACATCGAAGCCTCGGAAATGCAGGCAAAGCTACCACAGCGGTAGTGCCCTGAGTTGCTTGCTTCTCCACTACTGCCTCCTCCTCCTCCAGCACCACTTCCTTCTCTGGGTAGAGCGATTCTTAACTAACCGAGCATGCTAAGGCAACTCAAGATGCTACCGCTGCGGCGGCTTTGCCTGCGTCTCCGAGGCTTTGATGTTGGAGAGGCAGCGAGGGGTGGGAGAGTGAAGAGCTGCGCATGGCTCCATCTCCCTTTCCTTTCCTGCCTGCATGTGGGTGGGGGGGAGGAAAGAGAGAGAGCCGGGAGCAATTCAAAGCTAGAGAAATAAAAGGGAGAGCTAACAGTGGGCGCTGGGGGAGGGACTGCTGTTACCGCCACCACCAGATGTAGGAGCTGGTTGGCGTGTGCATCTCAGGGACCTGAGTCTGGGGTCCCTCAGAGAGCCGGGAGGTGCAAAAACTGCAAGGCTCAGATTAATTGCTTTTGGGAGCCATTTCTTCTGCGGCCCACCAATATTTTTCCACGGCCCACCGGTTGGTGACCGCTGCTCTGAACTACTCAAAATTTCCGCTACCAGTTCTCCAGAACTGATCAGAACCTGCTGAATACCACCTCTGGTTTGCAGACACATCAAAGTACCTAAAATGTTGCATGTTCAAAATGTTCAAATTATTGCAAAAGGCAGGACATTTATACATTTAGAGCTTTTATTTTTTAGTATGGAACAGAGGTGGATATTAATATGAAGTCCCTGATCTTTTTATTATTTTTTAGAAAGAAAACTTCTAGTCACATCAATGGAAAGTTTTTTCCCCATATAAATATCAAGATTGGGATATCTGATCAAGTTTGGGGTTATAGCAGAGATCAATGATTAAAGCCTAAGAGGCAAGCCCTTGGCTCTCACAGTGTTATATGCTTGTTCAAGAAAGCCTTAATACAAATACTTACAGAGTGGAGTGAAAGGTGTTATGTCATCATATTATAAAGTTTAAGAGACTCCGACATGTTCCCCCAGCATCAGAGTTTCAGGCTCAAATAAGATATGAGCAATTAAATCCTCAGATATCATGTGATTGAATTATTTGTTTATTAATTTAATTCAAAGTCTAAGCAGTATGCAATAATTAAAATATAAGAAACAGCAATATAATATTAATACAGTAAAATGATAAGTAATATCTGCCCATTCATGCACTGTTCAATCACCAAAAGCTTCTTGGGAAAATGATGTCTTAAGAAGCCTCTGGGAAACCATGAGATTAGGAACAAACCATTTCAGAAGATCACCCACCAAGTATATTTGCCTCCAGACCCCCTTCTATTATTCCTCTTGATAAGTATAAACCAATCACACCATGCTGTAGGTCCGTGATGGCGAACCTATGGCACGTGTGCCCAAAGTGGCACGCAAAGTCATGTTGCCTGGCACACATGGCCTTTCCTGTTTGTCTTTTGGGTTTCTGATGCGCATGTGTGCATGACAATCAGTTGTCCCTCATGCACGCAACAATACCAAAAACTGGTGTGCACATGCGCACCGGCCAGCTAATTGTCGGGTGCGCATGCGTGCCACAACCCAGAAGTTTGGCTTTTCTGGAGCATGATCCCTTCGTGAGCAACAGTGCTGAAAACCGGCCTGCACATGCATGCCGGCCAGCTGATCGTCGGGCGCACATGTGCACTAAAACCCAGAAGTTTGGCTTTTCTGAAGCGTGGCCCCAACAAGCGCATGTTTCCGTATGACCTTTTCGGCACTCACAGTGTCAAAAAGGTTCACCATCACTGCTGTAGGTATTCTCTGATTGCCTAGAATGTATGTGCGGTATCCAGTCTGGAATAGATGATTTTATGGATAGACCAGGCCCTGAGACCTATATGGTGATAAGAATCTTCTGAATTTTCTTGGAAATATACTTGAAGCCACTACAGCTACTGTAATAGCAGTGTCATGTGGCAGTATCACACCTGTCCAGTAACCATATGAGCTGCCATATTTTGCAATTGCCTAAAGTTTCTAGATAGAGTTGAAGAGTTATCCCATCTAGAGCAAATTCCACTAAACCAGGCAAGAAGTGAAGTGACAAGCCCAGCATCAAGCATCCTATTCTAGGAAATTCACACACACACATACACACAAATAAACCGTGGCTTAAAACAATTGTATTTGAAAATAAAGATGTGAACTGAATCAAAAACTAAACAAACTGTGTTATAAATTAATACAATGTATGATACCAATGCTATCATGGTGCAAATTTGTTTCTTCATTTGTGATGTGAATTTCCTTTACTTTTTCCCACAGGCTGGATGCTGCTTTGTTTGTACTGAAGTAATTTAAATTCCTAAGTTCTATAATAGGTATGTGGCTTAGTTTCTGTCATCATTATCTTTAAACTAAGCCCTGATTCACAACAGTGTTTATTACATTATTCTGTAACAAGAGATAAAGCAACAGTTGGCCCTCTCTCCTGCAATAGTATCACGAAGTATAAAACATCCTCTTTTGCTTCAAATGGCCTAGTGAATTTTTTAATCTTTGATATAAATCCTTCAGGGATGAGATTTCAAAGGACAAAACACACCTGGTGGCATTCATGACAAACACATAAGAAGGAAGGCAGTTCTATTCATTTATAAATGAAGGTACAATATTTTTCTTCATCTGCTCTTTTTGTCTTTTGCATGTGGATTCTAATGTCATCTCTTGTTTGTGGCTTGATGTTTAAAACTTAATTACTGAAACATAAAATATTTAGATAATAAGAAAGTCAGAAATCAGAAGATAAGAAAGCAGAACTTTTGTTAAAGGAGGTGACAATTGATTGGCTGATTATGTGCCATGTCTTAGTGACCATATGGATAGGCCTTTTACAGAATGATCCTCCCCAAACTGGTCCTTTAGATCTTTCAAAAGTGAACCCACCTCCATTCATCTTGCTGCTGGTTGTCTTCTTTTTCCTTCCATCTTAGAATTATAGACTTCTCCAGAGAGCTCCGTCTTTCCATAATGCATCTAAAGTATGTTACTTTGAGTTTAGGCATTTCTGCCTCAAGTGAGAGCTCTAGATAATTTGTTCTATGATCCTTTGATTTAAATTCTGCTATCCATGATATTCTCAGGAGTCTTCTCCAACAACCAAGTTCAAAAGCATGAATACATCTTCTGCATTTCTTCAGAGTTCACCTTTTGCTTTCAAAGAGTGTTACACAGAAAACTTTTGCCTGCATGTTTCTGATCTTTAGAGGTATAGACACATTATAGCATCTGAATATCTTTTCCAGGGCCTTCGTTTGTATTCTAGCATGTGCTAGTCAGCTGCATATTTCCCGACTACTGATTCCTTTGTTGTTGGTACTTTACCCTAAAAATCAGAAGCTATCCCACATTTCCATATCTTCATTTTCAAAGGCTGGTTGTTCTACCATTGCTATTAGTTTGGCCTTCTTTCTATTTAATCTTAGTTTTATGTTTGTTTGTTTGTTACTGTGCTTCTTGATTTTCAGAATTAAAGATTCCAGATCATTTGCGTTTTCAACTATCAAAGAAATGTCACCAAGGTAGTGTTATTGATGTTTCTTTCCCCAATTTTAAAACCATGCTCATCTTCCAATCAGCCTCCTTCCATATATATTCAGCAAATGGGTTGAATATTCAGCCTTGTTTTACTCTTTTGTCAATATGGAGCCAGTCTGTTTTGCCATGTTTTGTTCAGACCTTTCTGTCCTGTGTATTGTTTTTATATAAGGACAATGAGATGTTCTGGGATTTCCATTTTTTTAAGGACATTCCATACCTAGATATAATCAACACAATCAAAGACTTTCTATATCACAATTAACACAATATGAAAGCTAGCTGAAAGGCTTTGTTATTTATTTACTTATATCCTGTTGAATAATAAAGGCAGGATATAAGTAAATAAATAACAAAATTGATAGGCTTTCGATAATCAATGAAATATACATTAAGCTCTTTTTGACATTCAAGTTGTCAACAATATGTAATGAAGTTGTTTAATATCAAAAGGATTGTGCGAGATGGATTTCTCACATGCTGGTGACAGAAAGCAGTTTTTGACAAGTTTCAAGAATTGAAATTGTGACAACCAACAAAATGTCAGCTCATCATTATGAGCTAGAAACAGTCTCTGGACTGACAGAATTATACTGAGGGGGACGGAATTCAAAATTCAGGCTTCAGTGAGAAAACTCATAGTGACATTCTGAGGGGATATGGATTAGAATTCTTTTATGATGCATTATTCACATGGGTTTCCTTGAACCTGGCACTATTACCAGCTCAGAGTATTACAATGCAATATTCAAAACTTTGAAACAACAAGTAAAGTTTGGAAGCCTAAAAAGGAAATGTTGATGCAACATGACAATACTAGAGCTATACCTCATGACCACCCAAGAGACAGTCACAGTTGTAAAATTGGGTCTCACTGTTTCATTTCATCAACCATACAGACAAGGCTTGATACCATGAAACTCTCTTTCCAAAATTGAAGGAATACTTTTATAAGCATTTATTTGATTTAATGAAGGGATGGGAAGCATTTATTTGATTTAATGAAGGGATGGGAAGGACTGTTAGGACCTGGTTGAAGATACAAAAGTGAGGAGTTCTTTTAAGAAAGCTTTAAAAGTATTGGAAAAAATATATAGTAAAAGGTGATGGTTATGAGAAATAAATGCAGCGTTCATTTCATTTTATTGTTTCATTTATTAAAATATCTGTATCTGAACTATAATTATTGAGGTGGAGGTATTCCCTTTCATTCAAGCTGTATAATAAATTAATAAAAATAACAAAATGAAGTGTGTTTCAGAAGCACAAAGAATTCCAATGTATATATTGCAGTATATATAAAAGAAGAAAATTGAGGGAAAGGAAGAAAGTAGAACGTACTAAGAAAAATCACATTATTATTAAAATGTGAATTCAATGACAAATTTGGTTTATTTATTGTTTACTATTAGTTTTTCATTTCAATGCATCCTCTAAGAATAAAATATAAAAAACAAAGGATTTCCCTTCAGTTTTCCTCACAACCAAAATCTGTGAAGTAGTATGATCGGACAGTGGCTTATCTAAAATTACCAAGTTTGAACTAGACTGTTGATTTTACTTCAAATATATCTTCTAAAAATCCAACTGATTCAGATACTTTTAAAACTCTTAAAACACATATGCATAATGGTAAAACTTAAATTTTTGCATTGTGTTCTGTATCCACTGGAACTTAAAGCTAGATCTCCTTTTTCATTGGGCCACAGTTTAACTATCATGCTACACTGGCTTCCAGACTTACCAACATTTGTAAATGTCTTTATAATTAGAACCAAAAAAAACCCTCTTAAAATATATGGATGTGAAAAAAAGCAAAGCTTGTTGATTTGGCCATCCATGAAGAAATCTCAAGAGCATGGCTCTTTAGATTCAAATCCCTGTGCGCTCAGCTATATATGTGGTATGTGCTCTCATTATTCTGGCAAGGTGCTTCTGCTTTAACCTTTACATGGCAAGGAATACATTATGAGGAAAGACTATACTTACCTGCTAGAAGGACAAGCTTTCTCCCAAATAATTGGAAGCGCATGGAGCTTTTGACATTGGCTGATAAGAAGACAAAGGAATGAAGATGTACACGTGGCTGAAAACTTCACTGCAGCAAACCAGGAATGCTTTCAAGATCAGCTTAAAGGATGGTCATTGCTTGTGCAGGGCTGCTTTCCTACTGAATGTAACCTTTCTTCTAATGCCTAAGCAGAACTCTTCTTTCTTAACCTGATCCTTTCTTCTTTCCCTCTCCTTTTTCTAGAGCACTCACCTCATTCCCCATCACCCCATTTCTGGGTGTGAGATTGACTGGAGAATGCTAACTGTATAAGATGAATTAATTTTGTAAATCCTATATATTATTCTATGGACACTTGCATTAATAGTTATTTGCAAAATATCGCAAATTTATGCTTACTCTGCACATGTGTTTGTGATTTTTGGCAACAATATATGTATTCATTATCATGTGTAGGTCTGCTGTTACATATAAGTGAGCATGACAGAAATCTTCACATATATATTTCTCTGCCTACTCATCCTTTTTTGGAAAGATTGCATCAGGATCAGTTCCAGTAAACTTATATCATCCTATAGGAAGGGTAAAAGTGCAAATGTTGTTAAACCCTCCTCCCCCCAAAGAAAAAACAATTAAAATTCAGCTTTTAGTTTTGAGTGGACGTATTTTGGCAACACGGAAATAGAAATGATTAGTTTCCTTCCACTATAATGCAAAAGACTCACAAAAAAGAACATAATGGAGATGTATTCAACATGACAGACAACATGAAACTTTGTGTAGGTAGTCAATACATACCACTGTTCTGTTCTATGTACTAGGAAGGGAACTGGAACAACTCTACATTTTCTTTTTAGTGGTAATCAAAGAAATGTAAGAGTTTAACAGACAAAAGACAGGAAAGTCTAGAAAGGGAGAAAACTGAATATCACTTTTACAGGTTAAAAAAAAAGCCCCAGATCATTGCTATAATTGTATTGGAAGGCAAATTGGCACTACATAAGACCAGGGGGGGGGGGGGAGGAAGGTAATGCCAGTTAACTGAAGAACATTTAGTTCTAAAGTTTTCAAATATTATAGTAAGAATATTGAAATCTTTTAAATGTAAAATTTGTTTGTGTTTGTGTTTGTTTATTTGTTTAATTAAAAAAAAACTTTAAAAAAAAGAATATTGAAATCTTAAACGGCAGGTGTATGCACAACTTTCCATGGATCTAACAATGAACCAGGTCGTAGTGCCATACTGAAAACTCCAGAAATGGGCAGGAACAGATCCTATCTTAGGTATTTAAAGAGAGCTTATCTGGACAATGTTTGATTTTGCTCTGAATAAAGGAGTCGGCTTCATGTCCTAGCTATGACTGAGAAAAAAGCATTGAGTGAAAAACTAATCTGACAACTGTAACTAATACTCAGCAGGCCTGAAATGTAGTCTTGAAAGAACTCTCAGAAAATAACCTGATGCTGCTATAGCTGAAAATATAGTGTAATGGCAGCTTATATTATCTATTTAGTCTATATAACCAAAGAAATAAATATTAATTCAAGAGCAAATGGCCAAAGTAGTATGGGAAGGTCTGTGATATTTTGTTGTCTTCAGTAGGAGACATGACAATATGCCATCCTTCATTCTATGTATAAAAGGAGTTCCGAGTGATAACTGAATCATTATTCAACATCCTTCCTGACACTGAAGACAGCAGGCTAGGTTAGGAGATGCAAGATAAGCATACATCCAGCAATGAACTTCAACATTTGGAGAGCATGTACAGGATAATGGGATGAATACAGCTGGTAGTAGGACTCAGGAGATTAAAAAAAAAACCACACCCTTAGCAGAATGATGTTATAACATCTCATCGGAGATAACTTACTCGGCATAACAGCAGAGCTGGATCGGTTGAAGTGCCCTGGAAGGAGAAAGCAGGTCCCTGAAAGCAACTATGTGGCTACACAGCTACCAGAGCAGTTGTTGGCAGAATGGAATGGAAGTCTCTTAGTTAAATCAGGACAAAATTGGCATGGTAAAGCCAAATGTTTGACCCTGACCAGCTTAAGCCAGCATGGCGTCAGGTTTTAGATGGTTGCACTTATGTTGGGTTTGTGGAGTCTGAATGCTTAGCTACTTAAATCTGTCTAACATCTAAGGGTGATCCTAAACAAGATGAGAAGCCACATTGGCAGATTTACACATTGGCAGGGCCCTTAAGAATGTTAAATCCATATTTAAAAATAGACAACCTGACAGTGGCAGTGTTGCATTTTACCACATAGCGCATAAACACATACATCATGTGTTGTCAACTGTTTTTAAGTATGGATTTAGTGTTCTCAGGGCTGCTGGCCAGGCAAAGTGGATAAGTCTGACCTTTTTCCTTCTGAAGCCTGTTTATCATCACACCAATCTTTTCCCCTTTAATTTCCATTACCAATATGAAAATGTAGCTAAAGATAAAGCTGAAATCTTTAGATATTATCTTACTTTCTCAGTTTTTTTAACTGCTTTATATTTAGCATCATGTCTGTTACTACAATTTAAACTGTGAACCTTCTTGATGCATTGCAAGAAAGATAACACATCAGCATGTAGTCAAAATAAATAATGAACTCCTTCCTTGTATAAATGTTCTATGAATTATTGCATTACATATTCAAATTATATGTTTATGTTCACAATTCAGAAAGAATTTTTTAAACCTTTAGATACTCTGCTTAAATTAAATCAAAAAAAGCATCTTATCCCCAGTGTTGTAAATTATTCAGTACTTCAAAATTTAGTGTATTAGCCAAGTTTTGGAGAATTTTGGACTAATCAAATAGGCTGAGGAAAGAGGACAGTTCTATTATTACAAATCCTCTGCAAGATACTAAACTGATCAGTAAGGATAGCAAGAAGCAAATAGTGCAACCCATTTTAATGGATATAGCCAAAGAGAATTTATTGAGTACAAAAAAAAAGAAGATTCACAGTTTGATGGTACCTTTGATTAAAGTAGGCTATGGAACAGACAAGTGAAAGTTTTAAAGTCATGCCATTTCTAGAAAGTTTTACATTTATATGATACAAAAAGTGTAGCAAAAGTATTTCTGAATTACAGTATTTGTTGCATTGGTGAATACCCAAATGGTAATGTAAAAGTATGCACACATGCATGCAAATGCATAAAATATAAAGAAAATACTAGTGCTCAATACATTAAGCACAATATAATAATAAGTATCTTGAACATAAAACAGTGAGAAGTATTACTTATTAAATCACAGGAAGAAACCTGATAAAAATGAAGTGTGTCTATAGAGAGAGCAAAGCTATCAGATGTCTTCAAAATAATCTTAATCTCTGGAGAAGCATCAAGGGAAGTCATCCAGTGGTGGGATTCAAATTTTTTTACTACCAGTTCTGCGGCCATGGCTTGGTGGGTGTGGCAGGGAAAGGATACTGTAAAATCTCCAGTCAGAGGTGGTATTTGCCGGTTCTCCAAACTACTCAAAATTTCCAGTACCGATTCTCCAGAACTGGTCAGAACCTGCTGAATACCACCTCTGAAGTCAGCATACCCTCGGTTCTATCTTCTGACAATACTCCAGGCTACTATTTTCCAATTGAATAGCTTTGGCCAGGCTTTATGCTTTGAATCTGGACTAAGATTTTATCCTTCATTTAAAAATGAAACAGAGAGCAACTCAAATTTTAACTAGTGAAGTTGGAGTTATCCTTTTCTGAAGTTAATAGATTTTTTTATCAAATTCATCGGCTGCTTTACTGTCACGAAAGAACCTTCCAGGGAATATAAAATACACAGCTTTTTCTTTAACCCAACATTTCTAAAGTCTTTTTTTTAAAAAGATTTTAAAAATCATTATTAAAAAAAAACAGCTGAATTTGCAAGCATTCAAAGAAATGCTTTAAGTGTAAAATAAACTGGGAGTCTAAATGCTTAGTAAAAGTGGAAAGCCAATAGCAAGGAAATGATGGCAATTAGAAACAAAGTAAAGCAAACAAAAGGTGACAGGAAGTGCAGCCTGCTGTCAACAATACCAAAGGGAAGTTGCCAGGTCATCCTGGGCTATGGTGTTCACTGGTTTGAAAGTGTATTTCTGATCAGAATAGAGTTAGCATTAGTTTCAAACTATGGATTTTTCCTCTAAATTCAGAAGGCAATTAGGAAAGAATTCAAAGACTTAGTAAACAGTTGTGCTGCTGTCTGCAAAACTGAAATCTGGGGAGAGGTGGCAGTATTCTTTCTGTAGTCTTAATAGCCGGTGGCATGGCTGGGTTAAGGTTCAGTTCATCAATTGATGTCAAGCCCATGTAACCAATTGCATGAAAACTGAATTAGAGGGGAAATTAAATAAGAAGAGAAGCAACAGAAATGCATGGCAGATCAAGAGATGATTTAAGAGAATCAACCAGCCCAAAAGAGAAAAAGATTCCAGTACTTATCCATCAGTAATCAGCATTTAGATCAGCGTATATTAACTTCAAGGTCAATTTCAGACCAACGATCAAGTAAGCAATCCCCCAGTCAAGAAACTGACAAATAGCCATCAGCAAACAACTCAACCAAAGAATCTCTAAGACCATCCCCACCCACACAGACAGGCAAGATACCAAACTATAAGCTGACAGCAAACAGCACTCCTTACTAGCACTGATGATGTTACCTAGTTAGGGTAATGAAACGTCTACGAGAAATCAAGCATGCTCAGAAAGCACCAAGGACCACTCTGATTTAAGAGAATGAAATTCTGAATCAGAAAGAAGAAAACCTTCATAAAAAGATATTGGAATTGTAATAATGTTCTTCCTGCACCAATTTGGAAAGCTGAGATTGCCCAAAGAGCTGCTGATGCAGTTCAATAGAGGAACTAATGAGGAACTGTGATTTGTACTTCTATAACTGTCTAGTTTGGTATAGCAATCAATCAGGACAAACACAGACTTCAATGAATAGATAGGACTGCAGAAAAAACAATTGCAACCAGCCTCCTTTCCATTTAAGACCTTTATGCTACACAAGCCAGAAATAGGGCTGAGAAAATATCTACAAACCCTTCACATCTTGGACATAAACTGTTTCAACTCCTCCTTTCAGAACACTGCTAGACAGCATTACATGCCAAAACAACTAAACACAAAAACACCTTTTGCCCTCATGCCATCACTCTGCTGAACACCAAATTCCCACAGTGCTGTCTTACACCTAAAGATTTATCCCATGTAGTAAGGCTGTATTGTATTGTCCTTTATTATATTGTATTGTCCTTTATGTAGTAAGGCTGTATTGTATTGTTTTTCCTCTTACCTTCTCCTATTGGTATCTTATGATTTATCACTTTATTGTTTATCTTATGATTTATGATTGTATCTTACGATTTAAGATTCATCACTTTATTGTTTGTATGTACATTGAGAGCTTATGCATCAAAGGCAAATTCCTTGTGTGTCCAAACCCACTTGGCCAATAAAGAATATTCTATTCTAATAGCAGGAGAAGTAGGAAATGCTGGCATGGAGACAGCAATCTGAGCCAGAATCCTGAGGAAACGCTGCAGACAATTCTGCGAAGAAGAAAAAAAAAAGAGAATTATTTTGGTTTTCATTCCAAGCGTTTGGTGTGAATCCAATCTT